TGAGAGAAAATGAACCCTTAATAAACCTTAAGAATGAATTCATGATTTGTCTGGAATGTATTTGTCATGAATACACGTACAAAAGCTTATGCCAGACATTCCCTTGGAACAACGTCGCACTGATAAACCCATCACGATGAGCTATGTGTCACTCGGGTTCCCTGAAGGCCGGAAACAAGTATGCTAAGGAATGATGAAGTGAGCTTTCAAGCCTTTTGCCCTGTTTTTACTGTCAGTGCCTGAGGGAGAGTCAGTGCTCGTTATGTCACGGAAAGTCTCCCCCCTCCTCCGGCCAGATAGACGCGTACATCACGGATCGACACTCCAGTTCCGCTCTCTTCACACAACAGCAAATTTGTGACCCGAAGAATGACCCGTTTCTCATGTTTAATCAACACGTATAAGACATGTGTGGGTTATAGAGGGCCATCCAGCATATGATAATCTTCATGTGCATGAAGCACAGTCTCATTCCAAGAGGGTGTTGGTACCTACGCATCTTTATCGTCTGCGTGAGACGCGCAGAATCAGACATATCGTGTCAGGTGACAGGCAACAGAATCTATAGAGCACGTCGAGAAAAAGGAACTTGGAAGAATCCAAGAAGAAGAAGAAGTGTAATTCAGGGATATTCCCACCGACTGAAGGTGTAACCAACAAAAGACCATAAACTAACCTCCACATTACAGGTCATTTAGTAGATGCTTTTATCCAAAGCGACTTACATTACACTTTCAACCCATGGCTTTTTTACATTATTGCCATGGAACATAGGGCAGCCTGGAATTGAACCACCAACCTTGTGCTTCCCAGCACACCTTCTCTAACCCCTTTGCCACGACGACCCCATCCCCAACCCCGTATCTACACATGTAGATACCTATAAACCCTTTTCTCATATTCATTGACTACTTTTGCCTGTAGAGTCACAAGTCACCGAGTATAACATGCCCAAAGAGCAAAGGTTAAATATCCTTTCATGTATTTGATTTGGCTGCAGAATATGTACTCAAATGTATCCAATCGCACACATCCCAGCGTGCGATTCCCTCTGAGCGTTGATCCTCAGACACCAGCAGCGCGGCTTCGGCTGCGGCCTCGCAAGGGGATTCGGTCTCTTGGAAACCAGCAAACGGGGGACCACTGTGAGCGCCTGCCAGACCAGTGAAACACCGGGATAACAACGCGCTTCATTTGACACAACACAACCTGCCGTAAACTAGCCGAACGCACACCACCCGCCTGGTTCCATCGCGTTGGGCGAGACCAGCTCCAGCAGGTATTGGTTACAACGCAGCTTGTGGAGCAGTGGGGGCGGGCGTGGTTGGAGTGTTGGGGGGGGTTTGTTTCTCACAACCTGAAGCGTTTTGGAGTCAAACAATCCAAAACACAGCGCTCACGCTGCTACCCGTCCCTCGTGTACGAGCGAAGGGCCGAGCTCGGCTTCGTTCATGCCTCCTATTTCAGATCAAAGCACGTCGGCTCCACGTCTGGGTCACTGATCACTTTCATTTCATTGCCTCGCCTCTGATTTGATTTATGCCCTTTTGAAGGCTGTTTTGATAAGTGTGCAATAAATTTAGTTAAAGAATTTTAATAAAAACTAATTACAAACAAATAGACGGGATCTGGATTTGGCTGATCTGGATTTTTTTAAGAGTAAAACCAAAGAAAATCAAAAACGGAAACGTGCTGTTTGACATTCAAACAGGATGTTTGTCTGTGACTTCAGTTTGCAGTGCTTTATAGTGGCATTTCAAGAACGGGAAAAAAAAAGTAAAAATTCCACATTCAACAGCGGTGAAGGTGGAATAGGTTCATCACAGGTGGATCTACAGGTGAAATGTTGTTATGTCAAAGTAACAGTGACAGGGATCCAGAATCGACACCACATGGAAGTTTAAACGGTCCATTTGTAATTCATTCATATGCAGTTTTTGTCACAAATGGAGCCTAAATCTGACCAAAGATCTGAAAAGCTTCTATGAAATTCCAGTTCCTTACATACGTTGAAAGAAATGGGTGTAGCATATATGTGCTGATCAGCCTGCTGTTCATTACCAACCATTAAATCTTTAATATGTATCACCTATTTGGACATTTTGGAGGAACTCTGCTCTCATACATTTGTCATCCGTCACTTCAAAAAAACAAACAGATGCGGTAAACAGCTGTTAGCGTCCAGGCGTTGCAGCGATGCGACCGGAGGTCTGGTTGGTGTCACGCGGAGGGACCTCATCTCACATGTTTAGTCGTCTTGATAAACCTTTGAAGTGGAGGCGGGTGAGGAGATATCACACCCTGACGTGCGTGGGATGCCGCCTCAATGGCCGGATGTGTTTGGGCTTCGGCAGAGAGGAAAGAGGCCGCCCAGTGCAGACTGCTGCCACCGCTGCACCAGCTCGCCAGTTTCCTGGACAAATGCTGCAGTCAGGTAAAACACGGTGGACCCTTCTATTACTTCTTGGATGGACCACGGTGGAGCTGACAGGAGATAGTGTCTTACACCAAACAGCAGGCAGCCTGTCTGCTACAGAAGGTTCCCAACAACGTGCATTCGCAATGAAAACATCGAGCAAAACGTGTTTTCTCACGGATGCAGTTTTGAGTTTGGAAAGTCAAACAAATGCTAATGGCAACGTTGCGGTTTGGTCATACAGTCTCCATTGTGAAAGTCCTGCGTTTGTTTGAGACTTTCTGTAAAAGCACATTTCTTGAGAAATTTGGTGTTTGATTTTACAGTATTTAAAATATTATACACAATGATCATTCAACAAATGGGTCGAATCCCAGCTTTGTTTTCATTATAAGTCTTTTTATATTCCGCACTGTGTGTGTGAACAGTGAGCCAACACCCCCATCTATTGGTTTATTTCTTTAAAACCATTAAAGGTATTTCTATGTGCTACACATAAGACTGCGTACCCGAATAGCAAAACGCCACATTACTCTTGGGATAGCGGCATTTTAATTTAGACCTTGTTTTTCCTTTGCAGTAAGACTGAGTGGTCCTTATCTCCACTGCACCTATTCCACTGCCACATTTAGTGCGTTACACCCTCCTTTCCCACCCGGAAAGTGTGCTCTGCTACCTCCCAACAGATAGCCTGTCAGATGGAAAGTAGGGAGGGTGAATCTCTCACAGGTCACTATATAAATAAACAATAGAGTCTGACCGATACAAAGGGTCACGATAAGAATTATCAGAGATTTATTTCGGTTGGAGCTATTGGGTGGTGCTCCGTGGATTTAATGGACAAACCAACACAAAGTGTTGTTCCATCACCATGAGCCGCCTATCGGCTTCATTCATCCTTGGATTCCTCGCGTAGTGTTCTGATGATGATGGTGGACACCGTCCATCGCCATCGGAGAATCTTTTCCATAGTTTTTCCAGATCAGTTGAGGAAATCAATAGTAGTAGATAGTTAATTAGTGAATAGAAGAGGCCAAAGAAGAGCACAGAATCAATGTGCCAGTGGAGAAAGCAGAAGTCTCTCTTTGTATTGTGATGCTCTGTAACTGCTCATCCATCACTACTGGAGTCAGAGCTTAAATGAGCACAGCTCACGCCCAAACCAGCGCGTGAGGAAAACCACACCAGTTCGGCCCTGCAGACAGATCCTGGAGACGTTTAAATCCGTCCACTTGCAGTGTCCATTTGTTGTCCATTTAGGTACAACGTGTCTCACCCATGCAAAGCGGAGGCACTTCTCAATGGGGTTAATAAAGCGTCTCCGGAGAACATTGATAAGACTCCTCCCGTGGGCTGAGCGGAGTGTGTGTGTGTGTGTGTGTGTGTGTGTGTGCCGTTTCTCTCCACTGGAGCGCACAGCGGGCGAAGCTGCAGAGACGGCTCCGGGAAGCACCGAGCTCATCAAAGCCATCTGACTCACACGGACTGAGGTCCGGTTACCTGTCCGGCCTCCACAGCCAACGAGGCCCCCAAAACATGCAGTATTTCTGTAAACAGGGACTAATCAAAGAAACAGACTTTCTAATGTTCACGTTCAAGATTCAAAGCAGTGCAAAGGAAGAGGAGCTCGCAGCCGGCAGACCGGGGCTGAGCTGTGCACAGTGGCCGTGTTGCTGCTTGACTGGACTCGCCGGCGTGCCAGAAGGGATGTTTGGTCTGGTTGACAGGCCCACATTTCCACTGATTGCACACTGAAGCGATGGGTGGCTGAAACTGTCAGGACACAGCTCGTTGTCATGGTTACGCAGGCAGGTGGACCCACATGGAGAAGCAACGTGAACCGAAGACACATAACGATTTGAAGAACTATGACGAACACACAGGTATGCAGAAATACATATAGTGTAAATAAGGGGGAATGAATCACAATAACGAGACCCAACTTGAATAGGGGGAAAATACCACGACGGGCTAACTGGAGACCACGAGGGTGTGGTGAGAAAAGCCAAGGGCGGAGCCAACAAGACTAACACAAGGCATGTGTGCAGCGCAATCTGGAATAACACAATACAGAAAATGGAAAACTCAAAAAGTCACACTGCAGATGTTACATGCAGAGTGACTCCAGAAGGACCGGAGATCAACGTCCGTGCCCCTCGCCCGAGGGAGGAGCCGGCGCTCAGCAGCGCCATCGTTGAACCTACAAAACGTGGGCGTATCTGCTGGAAGCTAATCGGCCCTCCAGCAGAATAACCCACGTGCACAGCTCACGGTGGTGGAACGAGACAGTCCAAAACATCTGTGATTATATTCTAAAACCCGAGTATCAGTGTTTATCTACGACCTGCGAAGGGTTCAGCTGAAAAGTACACACACACGCACACACACACACACACACACACACACACACACACACACACACACAGTGGACTCGTAACTTGAACTGTAATGATCTTTGATGTCGTTTGCAGGCGCTGTAGACGGAAACGTACACCCTGACCAACAGATGGGGATGTTGGCACACTGTTCACAATGTAAACAATCAGCATTGGTGTGGGATAAAAATGAAATGACACCAACAGTCAATAGTTCTTGATCTTCTGTTGGAAAATAACAGTTTGATCATCATTTATTGATCGGTTTATAGATACAATGTAGCGTGAGGCCTGTCTGGAGGTACAACGGCATGAATCGTTCCTGCAGGCTGCACAGATTATTTGCGGATACATGACTGCATGAGTTTAACCCTGAGATATTATGATACAGTAACACAGAGTGATCCATCCAGTAAGAAGGAAAGGAATACGACAGTTAACAATAAAATGATCCACAGTTACGCTACATTTTATTCCCAGTGCTGGAGTTTACCTCATATGAATGGCTCACGGTGTTTTGTCAACGAAAAATCTATTTTAAGAACGTGCTACTTTTGTAAAACCATATGAACAAATTTGGGTGGTGGCTATGAAGGCACCTTTTTTACAAAAGTAAAAAAAATCTAAATGAATGAGATGAATTTAGAGATGCAACACCAGTCAGCTGGTAGAATAATATTTCTTATGTTGTACTCCTGTTTGTAACACACACACACACACGCAAAATGCTGTTAAATTATAAAAAAGATATGAGTTGAAAAACAGCTACTGAATTGGGTAATATGAAAAAATATAATTTATTTATTTTGCTTTTTCTAACCAACTGAATGAAGAGAGAACACAATATTTCAAACAGATAACTATTTAATTCATTTATTCTTCTTTTTGACTGGTCTGCCTTTTAAGTTCTAGTGCTGCAGAGGTTTACTACTTTCTTCAGCACCTTCTTGAACATTTACATATGAAGAGCAACACTTATAGAGAGAAGACAATGCACTAAACACCACCCAGACCTGTGCAGTGACCTGTGCAGTGACCTGTGCAGCAGCGTGCCCCCGTCCGTAGCAGCCAATCGCTGGGCAGACTACTGTGGTGCAGTGGTGCATTAACACTACATAACATGGAGTCCAAATGAGAACACCTCAGGTGAATAGGACAATGAGGACAACCTTCTGAAGACAAGACATAACGATAAGGTCTTTGGCAACAATTGACCAGATTTGTGAATGTGGAATGTGTCAAAAAATAGCACCGTAACCCTCTTTGCCCCCCTGCGAGTCTCCCCTGGTGCTACATGGTGCTGGACGTGATGAAGACATAGATCCTGGCCAGGAAGGAGGTGACCGTCCCCTGTCTCAGCAGCTTCATCTCCACATCTATCAGGAAGTCTTTGGGCTGGCGGACTTGTCTCTGCAGGTAGACGGCGCCCGTGAAGCCGTTCAGCTTCCGGGTGCCAAAGTAGCCCTCCTTGTTGCCCTTGACGACGCTGATGACGACGTGGTCGCCGGCGTAAGCGGGGGACGGTCCGATTCGGAAGATCTGGGCGGGGGTGATGATGTTGGTCTGGAAGCTGAGCTGGTAGTGCGTGATGCGGACCGGGGCCTTCTGACAGTCCAAGGAGCTGCTGGGGCAGCTGGTCCGCTCGCAGCGGCTGGAGACGAGTGGAGAGAGAGACGGGGGAGGGAAAGGAGGAGGGAGGGGGCGGTGAGCAGGGTGGTGTTTTGGGGCTCGGTAAAAACAGATATGTTTCGCTATCTTCCTCCTGTTGCCAGGGTTGTAAATCTTGCTACCGACATTTGTTTTCAGTGCTTATGGGCGGGACCTCAAAGCCGAGGCTCCACCCCCACCGATCATCACCGCATTCCCGACCTGAATCAGAATCCCCCTTGAAATTACTTTTGAAAACTTATTTTAGCAATAAACTCTGAAAGATATTAGTCCTTACGGGCAGTGTGTTGGTTTAAATGGTTTGTAAACACATTTGTGAGGAAAACATATTACGATTGCACAGACGGGGACTCACGTGTCCGACACCTTCTTGTAGTTGGGAGGGCAGTCCAAGGAGAGACATCTGAACCCCCCCTGGAGGTTGTAGCAGTTCTGTCCCAATGAACAGTTGTGGGTGCCGGCTGAGCATTCGTCCAAATCTGAAAAGGACAATAAATAAAACTCTCTCCCAACTTGTTGTGAATTGTGATATCTTCCTTTACAGCGTAATGTATTGTTGATAAAATCCCGGCAGATACTGGGCTTGTATCAGCACACACACACCTGGTGACTGTATAATACATGGGTTGATTTCTCACAAGAACCCCCGGAATGCACAGATACATTAAGTGATAATATATTTCAAGATTTTTTTTTTTTTTAAACAGTATTCCAAAAATCTTTTTTTCTGGGCTTTTTTCAGATTTTTTGATTCATTGGTGGTATGAAATTGAAATTAAAAACCAGAATTAAAACCTGGCTTTATCCAATTTATCTAACATTTCCATTCTGGAAATATATGAACATGAGAGCAGCTCTAATAAGATAGTGCCTAATTTGCACATCATGATCTTACAGCCGGACCAGGTCACAGGTCACTGAGGCCTCACCTTTGCAGGTGCGTCCATTAGCAGACATGACGTATCCACGAGGAGGACAGGCGCACTGGTAGCTGCCAGCAACGTTAACACACTTGAAGGTACAAAGGTTCCCGATGCTCTGTGAGCACTCGTCGATGTCTGTTGAGGAGAGGACACGCACACACACACACACACACACACACACAGAATGAGTGGAAGTCGGAGCTGATTGAGGAAGAGTCTTAATAATGTCTCCCAAAGCCAAATGAGACAACTGAAACAGATTAACTTGTGTTCCTCTCTGCCTGTTTCAGTGCTTCAGTGTGCATATTTATACCCTTGAACTTGAACAAATGTATGCTGAAGACCTTCCCACCCTCTCCGCCATTCTGCAAGGCCCCGTACCTTCACAGGTGTGTCCGTCCTCTTTCAGGAAGTAGCCTTGGCGACAGTAGCATTGGTACGAGCTCTGGATGTTGGCACACTCCTGGCTGCAGGGACTATGGTCACACTCGTTTACATCTGAGCACCGAGGAGAAAAGACAAGATTAGAATCTTTGTCATGTTCAGAAAGGATTGGACATTGTTCTGTTTTTTTTTTCCTTATTGTTATGAATCCTATAAAAAGAAGCTATTTAGAAAAGATTCATCTCATATTAAAACGCTCTATAATGAAGTATATATATATATATATATATATATATACACACACATGAGACACAAATATTTATTTGTATTAATTCTCAGTGATTTTGCAAAACTGCAGGTCACTAGTTTTTAGCAAATGTTACTCAAAGAGAATTGTGCATTTTTTGGGGACTATTTTCAGTGGATTAATACATTTTTGGTAATAATAAGTATTTAAGGGATTGAGCCAAAGTGAACAACAGTAGGTGTTTTGTGTGGTCTTTTCAGAGGATGCACAATAATAAGATGAAATACTGCCCGCGATCATCCTTTGTAGGGATACATAAATAACAATTCAACAGGCAAATGAACGAGCACCACCTACCGAAGCACCATCAGAAGAGAAGAGACAAGAAAAAAAACAATCCTACTCCTGGGGAGGAGCATTGTGGAACTTTCTAAATTCGTTGCATGCATCGTTGTATCGTTGCCGGTGCTTCAAGCATTTAAACGGTGCGCGTGTCAGAGCGGGAGCGTACCTTCACAGTTCTTGCCGTCGGCTGCCAGGGAGAAGCCGGCGGCGCACGAGCAGCGGTAGGAGCCCGGCGTGTTTTCACAGGTCTGGGCGCACAGCCTGCCGGTGTGGCGCCAGCACTCATTCACATCTGCGCAGGGGGACACAAAGCGTCAGGTGGGTTCCTCCGCTCTGCAGAGAGATTTTCTCTGTAACTTCTGGAGAGAATGCTGCCAACTAAGAAAAGAGTTTTTTTTTTTATCTATCATCGTTTGCTGGTTTCCTCAGGAAAACCAGCCATGCCTTTAATGAGATAATTGGACAGTTCCGAGAAAAAAAAAATACAAAAATCAACTGAATTTACGACATAATTGTTTTTGTTTATCAAGAAAAAGGTTTCATGGGGAAACATCCTGCTCTTTTTTTTTTATGAAAAGCAAACGTGTCCTGGCTGATTAGTTTGATATTTGTTATTACTTAAAGACCCCTTTAAATAACATGCTAGCATTAGTATCATCCATGAAGCCCATTCCCATCGTTGGCCCCGCCAGTGTTTCTCCGGCATGCTTCATTCAGGGAAGTTTCCTTCTTGAGATATTTCATTTTGGTCGTTCAGAACTTTCCCAAAAGTTGCAGTTATGGCACAAAAAAGAATGTCTTCAAATTCAATTTGGAACAGAACTGTTTGTGTCGCACATGCTCCTGAAGTCTTTTAGTGGAGAAGGATGGGGATTGAGTCAGGAGAGAGAAAAGATCAGTCAGACACACGATCCGGACCTGCATCCTTGTAAAGAACAGCTTGTACCTCCTTGTTTGCTCCTAAGTACTTAAATAGTATTCTGCAAAATACTACAGAAAACCAGAAAAGAATCAGGTGAGAAAGAACAAATTCAGTCTACTCCAAACGCATTGCCTAAGACTGTGGTCACTTTCTGTCATCATCTAAATAAATTGAATAGAATTTAGTGGAGTATTTGATCATCGGTGGTTACCTGTATAGAGATCACAGACCCAATTGTTGCCTCTGTTCCTCCTCTTGTACTGCAAGTTTATTTTCTTATTTCATCGCATGACCTTGCACTTGTTTCTGTTCTTGATCCTGATCCTGTACTTGCTACCTGTGCTTGTTTTTGTACCCGTCTACCTGTTCAATTCCTCATTTCTATGCATGTACCTGTTTTTGTTGTCCATGTACGTGTGTTTCCATCTACTTAAGTAATGTGTATATTAGGATCGCAGTGCATTGATTCAACTTTCAGATGAGACAGTTTGGACGACTGAACCTCCAATCAGCCAGACGTACCTGTGCAGGCCTTGCGCAGCGCGTCGTACTGGTAGCCCGTCTGACAGTCGCAGCGGTAGCTGCCGGGGAGGTTGTGACAGATCTGTCCCCCCCCGCAGCGGTGCGTCCCCACCTGACACTCATCGATGTCTGAGAGTAAGAGAAGGTGCGTCAGCAATAACCTGCACCCGACAGCGCGACAACCAAACACAACCAAAACGCTTGGAGTCTTGAGTTGTTGTCGGAGCACTTCAATCAGGTCTAACAATTATTCTAATTCGGTAAAACATTGCGTTTTTCGAGCAATTTCATTATTTATGGGAAATTAGCTACATGCTAACGTGAATGTGCTATTGAGACCTGTGCTAACAAGCTTGAAAGTGTAATGCAGAAGTATGATTAATTAAATAATGTATAATGACTAATTATTGCATTTCCGTGGTCTACTGCTAATATCCATGTCCGCCCAAAATGTCATCTCTTCTTCAGTTTATCGTATTATAATTTGGTGTTCAAATTGTCGTAAGTAGCAATTTGTGAGGTCAAGGCGACCTTTACCCACCAAATTCTGATCACTTTGTCCCGGAATGCAGGTAGACGTAAATTGCAAATATAAAATAAATCCCCCGAGGAGTCTGTTGACATTCTATTTTTGTGAATAAATCATGAAAATAATGACCTGAGTTTTTTTGTTTGTTTCTATAAACCTATTTCGTCACCATCATTTGACGTTTTGTCCCTACGGTTAACTGACCTTCACTAGCTGCCGTTAAAGCTCATTCTCCCCTGTTAGCGCATTCTGACAACAACAACTTGAGCGCTTGTTTCTTTGCCGAATACGACATCATTGCCTTCGGCCGCATGTTCGCACAGTCGCCGGCCGCCTCCTCCGGGTCAAGAGGTGAATCTCACCGACACACCGGGCTCCGTCGGGGCCGACGTGGTGGCCGTGGCTGCACATGATGACCTTCTGCTGGCAGGTGTAGGAGCCCACTGTGTTGACACAGTTAAAGCCTGAGCTGCACGGCTCGCTCAGGCTGCTGCACTCGTCTACGTCTGCAAACGCACAAGAAATGACACACCGATTGAATGCATCTAGTCAGGTACAAGGGGGGGTGGTGGAGCGAGTATCAGAAACACAACCAGGCTGAATTGTAATGGGTCACATGTGTTATATGTGAGAATAACAGATACATTAAATCCCTTAATACCTAGTGTTTAAATACCTTTAACCTGCACACTGCAAAACAAATGAGGAAATCGACCATCGACAGCACATGAAAAGTACGGTTTTATCTTCACGTGAAACTGAAAGATAGATCTGATATCTCTGAACAAGACAGGATGTGGCCGGATATATAAAATGTTTGATTAAAAATATATATATATAGTCATCAAATACAAAACAAAGGTTCAAATATGGATGTTAACCGTTAACCGCCTGCAATTACTGATTTAAAGTGGGAGTCATTGTTACTCCTTATATTAAAATAAATTATATATTAACATGTAACAGCAATGGTAAAGGGCCTAGCATGTGCAGTGTTGAGACTTTTACTCCTCGTTATTTGTGTGTGATTAACTACACTCAGACCAGAACGCATTTCCTTCTGTTGTTCCAGAAGTGTCGTTTTGATTCCAGATCAGATTTCAGAGTTAGAAAATATCCCAAATGACAATATAATAATGTTTAACTTTTAGGTGTAATCAAAAGCTAAACATTACAATCAAAGCCGTGTGGCAAACACATGCGATTGTGGGCGTGCATTTGACATACTGACTCTTATAGACAATTAAATATCTTGATTAACATTTTAAACAATGAGTCACCTTAGCGAGCCCTCAGATCACAAACTTGGATTTCACATCACCGCCTTTTAGTAGCATTAGAAATAGTTGCTGCCGTGCGCCGCGCAGCAGAAGGCGCTCTGGACGCGTCTCTTACCGACACAGTTGCCGTGGGAGTCCTGCGTGAAGCCGCTGATGCACTTGTGTCGGGGTTTGCAGAGGAAAGACCCGGCGGTATTCTGGCACGCGAAGCCCGTTCCGCAGTTATGGGTCCGCAGGGCGCATTCGTCCGCGTCTGGAGGGGAGATCAATTCGGCAGGCGTCACTTCATCTGGATGTCGTGGAGTGGAAATCTGCTGCCAGCCGCCTCGAAGCCCGTCGACGGTACAGCAGGTGGCAGTGTGGCTCAAGCAAAAAGGCAAACATGTGCAGCATCCCAGGACCCCACCCCCCCATCAAAATACTGTATAACACTCTGCAATTAGCAGAAGTTCTGCAACACTTCTTAAATGACAGTTATTGAATGTGATGAGTGATGAGGTGGAGTTTAAACGTGTAATTGGTTCCCCGTTTGTCAGGAGTTCGGGGTCCTCTGAGAGTCCCCCCAGTCTCCGATGGAGAGGGATTTTCTTTCCATGCGGCTAATTAGCCGTTTGCCCCCGACTGAATATTACCTTCATTACCCAGCGACATTGATTAGTCCTCCCTGGTGCCTGAAACTGATGATGCTCCAAAGCGCCTCCTCTCTTGGTGAGAATCTCGTCCTCACCCTGCTGACCGAGCTCGGTTTACGTCCTGACCCTGGACATGCAGTCGCCTCACTGTGTGACCAATGATAAACCTTCTAAATAACCCAAATAACTATGAGTCTAATAATGTCCCGGTCCCCTTTGAACAGAGCAAGGACGCTTCACCTTTCCATGTTGCGATACCCTGCAGGGGGGACGTGTGCACACTCAAGGGGCTCTTTAAGGGCAAATTATCATTTGGTTTTCAGGGATACAATTAGAAAGAGCAGTAGAATCAGGCAGCGCCTCAGAGTGAGTGTTGGACCTGTGCGACCGCTGGTTGTTCAAATCGCTGAGGCGACGCGGAGAAACACGCTCCAACGCGATGGAACAAGCTCACAACCCGCTGCAAGTGAATCGGCGTGACGGATCACAAAAGGTATCATTTCCAGGCTTATGACCAGGGTCATAAAAAAAAAAAAATGGTGCAACGTGTGAGATGTGGCAAAGCTCAACAACGGTCTGAGGCCCACGGGTTAAGTCAGCCGTCTTTGACTCCGATCTCTCCGATAAGTGTTTCTTATGACACCAACCGGGGGCTCACTGCAAACTGCTGGAATTTAGAAATATCTAAACATTTGGGGAAATACCTCAGATTTGAATGCGTTTTGTGTAAACACATTTTTCACTCCCATGTTGCAGCTATAAACAGGCGAGTGGGGGATCTGTGCTCACGCACGCCGCTCGTTCACTTGTCGATCGATAAGATGCTCTACCCTACCCTCCCGGCGATAGTTGCCGGGCAACCGGCAGAGACTCCAGGAGGGAGACGTGTGCAGCCGGGACATTCGTGGGTCATCACGAAAGACCCTTTCAGGCTGTAAACTGATTAGATGGAACTTCTAAATAAGTGAGCTTCAGTCGTTCTATCACTCATGCCAGCTAAGCTGGTTACTGGTTCCAGCTATCAAAACCAACATGGGAGAGGTATCAATGCTATTACGTCTCTGCGTTCCACAATGTTTGAAAAATAAAAAAATGGGACATTTTTGTCTGGTGACGGGATTCAACAGCGGTTCAACCACTTTTAGTGGCTCAGAAAGTGGCCGCTCAGCGAATCCGCCTCACAAGACACGTCGTCAACTCACCCTCGCAAACGCCGTTCCTCCGCCGGTACCCGGCGGGACAGGCGACCCGCTGCTCACACGCGAATGAGCCCACGGTGTTCACGCAGTGCTCGCCGGGCCGGCACCCGTGGGCGCCGGTCGCACACTCGTCCATGTCTGCGGGAGAAGGATGACAACGGTGACTGTGTGAAATGAGGAGGCTGAATGTGAGGTGCAGGTCAGGCCGACTCCCCCTCGGGGGGGGGGGTCCGCGATGGACGGGGCCTCCACCCCGAACGAGCAGAAACCACCAACAAAGGAAGTCAATGTTAAATTCTCTATGCCGCTTTATATCATCTTATTGGCTTTTGAGGTTCTGGGATTTTTGTGGGTTGTATTGGGGGCTTGACATGAAACTCTTTGTTTTTTTAAAAGCCACTGGCCACTGAGCCTTGTCACCAGACACAGTTGTGTTGTTTGAAAGTAAGTAAGTCCTTTTGGGCTCAATGGCAGTAAAAATATAATTAGCACTTAACGCAGATGTGTTTCATGTAGATAATCGGACGAACACATTAGTATCAGGGGTCATCTTGCTGTTGTTTGGAGTGAATGTTTGTGGTTAGTATGACTGATACACATAATCCTCCCACAGTTTGTCTGGCGTGTCGTCAGCTTTGTGCGGCGTCGCTTGTTACGCTTGTTCGCGTGAAAAAAAACGGTTGAGAAACCTTTGGGAACTCAGATAGTCAGATAGATCGCTGGCGATTAGCTGAGAGCATCGAGCCGGGATTTATCGCGTGTGTGTGTTTGCATATTTACAGAGGAGTTTGGCATCCAGATTTGAAGATCAAAGCCCCAAAATATGTTGCATTCCAGAGGGAACCTGGCAAAAACCTGTACAAATGTGCATGACGGGAGCCGGAGCTCCAACACAAAAAGGAGGGAACGAATTGTCCCGTGTCGCCTGTGATCTGCTGGCAGCGCCGCGATGAAGCGCCTTTGTCGACATTCAAAGCTTTTGTCACAGAAGGACGGGAATGATCCCGCGCGCCTCGCTTACAGCACCTTCCCCGAAGGGGAGAAGGAGGCAGACAGGCCATGATTTAAGGTTTCCAGCAGCACTTCTTTTCCCTTAAGGTTATTTGCCCTTAGAAAAACACACCACACAACACGGCTCACTAGATTACATGGAGCCCCTGTGGAGCAGCAGCAGCCGCATCCATCTTCACCCGAATGAACAATTTCCTCTTTTGACATTCTGGAGCCCTCTGCGGAGTCCACGGGACTCGTAATATGCATGCAGTCCTGTGGCAACGCGCTCTTATTTCACCGCCCCCCCCCCTTTGCAAATGTTCACAACGGGGCAACATCTGTTGTCCCTCGTCGAACGGAGGGGGGGGGGGTATTTCGGGGGACGAGTCGCAGCGAATGCCTGGTCCTCCAGGCACCGCTCGCCTTTGGATTGACGGGAACGTTTCCCACGCTTGTGCTTTGCCACTGGTGCAGAAAGTGTCTCTATTCTTCCACCAGCTTTGTTTCCCGTGCGTCATTGGTAGAGGGGGGGGGGGGGGAGGGAGGGTAAAAAGAAATAAAGTACCCCATTGGCTCAAGTGCCTGGCTCCCCCCCGGAGTTCCCCTACGGGCTGGTGGGGTAACCCGGTTTCTGGAGTGAAATGGATCCCATACAAGCCTGGAAGAAAGAATGTCCCTTTTGGGAATGGCAATGCTGGATTCCAAGCCGAGCGTGGGCGTGTATATTAAAGATTCTGCGCAGGTGGGACAAGTCAGCCTTTGGGATTTAATAAAAGAAATACCTTAAGGTTAAAGCTCTCTTTTCCTAGCACCCCAAGGACGCTTTATGACCACCAAGGAAAAACCAAAAATTTTTTTTGTGGAAAAAAGGGGGCGCAAGTTCAAGGCTCTTGTCATCCCCCGCCTGCACTACTGTAACTCCCTCCTGCGGGTCTCCACGCTGCCGCCATCCGACCTCCGCAGCTCATCCAGAATGCATTGTGTTGAGGGAGAAGGTCTGGGCTGAGCGGATGAGGTCATTCGGGCCGATGGGGAGCATGTCGGATTTATTGCGGTCGAGTTTGAGAAAGCAGGTGACTGAGGCGACGGTAGAGTTGGGTGTCGTCAGCGTAGCCGTGGGAAATATGCAGATGTGGCTGGAGACGGGAGAGCGGGGGTCACACAGGTGCAGGCTGGTGGGATTGTGATCAAAAGAATCTGCGAGCATTAGTTTTTCAAATGATCTCTAACCCCAAATTAGAGTTTGAAATGGAGTCCACGGAAGTATCTTATCACGGGAGTACTACAAGCGTGAAGTACTACGAACGTGAAGTACTGCGAGCCTGAAGTACCACTTGAAGCGTCACACACATTTGCTATTCAGGTTGTGCATGACGGCCTCTCCACACATCTCACCCGGTTGACATACAGAGATCTTCTCCACACGAGCAACTGCATCTGCAGCTGAGAGAACGACGCTTTATTTGTTCTGTGAACGTGAATTAGAACGTCACACAGGGTGTTGATATTGGAACAAATTCATGCGTTTGCTAAAATGATGCCAGATCCCTCTACTGTAAACATCACGGGACGTCTCACATTTCCCCCGCCTGTAAGTACTCCAGGGTTTACTTCCAGTGACCATCTCAGTCAAATCCTCGCATCCAGTCAAGCACCTTGCAGTCCTATTTGCTTTGTTCCATTCCAGCCTCCATCAAAATGTTGCCCACCCACATCTTCACCATGTGGGAACACTTTGGGTCCTCACTCTGCTCGCTGAATGGAGAGAAATCAGGGGGGGGGGGGGGGGCCTCAACTCTCATGTGGTGCTTATATATTCAGAGGGACGGTCCGGTCTGCTGACTGGCTGAAAGGTTCAATAAACCCGGCTGCAATTCCCCTGTATCAGCACGCGATCTGAGACGGAAACTATTTTCATGTTAATTAAAAAGCTATTTCACCGCTGTGGACAGATAAAGGACGGCCTTATTTTCATGTTAATGGTGATCGCCCCCTAACCGTTGATTTCTAGAAAGACTTGAACAGGCAATTTATCCAGCTGATGTGCACAGAAAGTAGACCACATATCATTTATTTACTTGGAAAGGAAATGTTTTTACCCAGTTGCAAATGAAATCAATTGACTGGTGAATTCACTGCATGTAAGTAACACCATTGATGTGCATTCTTCTCTCTTTACTCCCCCAGTAAACATTGTGTTGTCAGAGTGGTTTTAGCTCCAACACAAATTCACTTTGTTTGCAGCAGTTTAATACATGGATGTGAACTATGGATGAGCCGATGCCGCAGCCTCTCTACTAACCAGCAGACGGCAACTCAACTGCTTGTTAAAAGAAGTCCGATTGAATATAAGTGTATGAGAAAATGACTCTGCTTCTCTCTTGATTTATTCCCACAACAAACATTGCAAATTTTAGTTTACGGTCTTAATCTCTAGTGTCAAGACTTCTTCATATAAGGGGTTACTTTGGTCTCAGAAGACAGTTGGAAAACAATTCAATACAAAATAGAAAGTAGATTCTTTAGAATAATCTTCTTCATATCGTGCATGTCCAAATTATATTACAGTGTTGAGCTAGTTAGCTTCAAAATGTCAATTAAATATATGACTTATTAATTGAATTGTAAAGTCAAACTCCTTATATTACAGTCTGTGTAGAGCAATGGGTTACTGATTGCTCATCAAAATAACAAGTACAACTGGGTATTATTAATGGGAAGAGGGTAATTACTTGTTTCATGGCCCAGAGGATCAATGTTGTAAAGCAGGTCATTTGCAGATCCACTGCTGGCTTTGCTATTGCCAAGAAATCCCGTTTTATTTCTTTATAATGCAAACATATAGCACAATGTTACCATGTAAAGAGCACACTTAATTTTTTTCTCATTTAAATGAATGTGAAGTCTCTCATTCTGACCCTCACGTTTCCGTGCAGAACTCTGTGCATTGAAGGTCAGAGAGTGAACAGACGCTGCCACACAGTTATCGGTCGTGGTTGAATGACGCTCCACGGAGCGCCGTCAGTCGAAGCGTTGTCTAGAACCACAGGACGTTCATTCTCCTCCTCCTGCAGTGGCTGCCTCCCATTAAACGCTGTCTGGACACGACAACTCAATTGCACCTTTTGTCCTTTGCAACAAACAACAGCTCGAGGGCTGCGCGGGCGAGCGAGGGAAGGCGGCGGCGGCGGCGGTGGCGGCGTCTTACCTTCACACGTGTGTCCGTCCGTCTTCAGCGAGAAGCCCGGGAAGCAGGAGCAGCGAGCCCGGCCCGCCGCCACCGCGCACCGCTGACCGCAGGGCCCGTTTTCTGCAAGACACGAGGCCAGACGGAAGCTGCGTCACTGTGCGGCCGCCATCTTCCATTTTCTTTCTTTTTTTTTTTTGATGGAAGGAAGTTATTTTCCTCGTTGCAAATGTGGACGTGAGACACACGTCAGCCCGTGATGATTGAATAAAGCAGCGGGGGCCGATTGGCTGAGCGGATGCATTCTGCTCACTGCTGGCAGGACATCAGGTGGGAGGCTGGAGACACCGAGGATCTCGCCACCTCATAAGAAACACTCTCTAAAACCATACTGGAGGAAATGATAATAGAAAGAAGATGGAACGTGGCTTTGGTGTTAAAAATTGAGTTTTAAAAGGCCAGCTGGCGTTTATTGACGTCTGCTTGTGGCGCTACCACACTGCCAGTCTGTTTCATATCAATGAACCTTCTTTCTACTTTATCAAATACAAATGCGACCAACAAATCAATCAAACTAAATGCTCAAAATAAATGATTTTCTTTACATTGTATTTTAAGTGTGTGACGGAGGATTACTTTAAAATATAAATCTACAAAGCTTCAATAACAGGTGGAGATCAATATTTGTCTAAATTACATAGATATTAAGCATATCAGTGACTATTGTTTCTCAGGTTAAATATGATGCTATGTGATTACGCTCCATACAAATGTAACTGAGACCACTAGAGACGACGTTCAACATGCAGGGATCAGATAATCGACACGATCACATGAGTGATCATCACGAGTCCCACAACAGGAAGTGAACATTAGAGGCCCGAATCAGGTCTCGTGCTCCTCCATTAATGTGTCAAGGAAATCCCTCTCTCATTTTGTTGCATTCTGTATGTTTACGAAGGAGAAGCTTGAACGTCAAGGAGGGCGACTGTTCTGTCGGCCCAAAAACTCTTCAATTCCAAAGGCTGCAGTGCTGAGAGTTCAAATCTGTGAGGTCCTCTGGACAGCGAGAGAACGAGGAGGAATCAGAACGTGTTTACAGCAACATTCTGCAGACGTTCTGTTTCCAACCTGACGGCACTACGACAGAATACATCTCGTTAGGGTGCAACAAATGAGACAGACCAAATCGCTCTCGCATTCACTGTCTACGAAGCAGCACCTGTTTGAGACATACCTCACCGCTTTCTGGCTTTGAGACAGTCGCTCACGTCAGGGACAGGAAATGGTTGAAAGGCAAACTTTTCTGATGATTTGCCACGAGGTGCGTTTTATTTTCAACCTGAAAGCGACCGGCTACAGTGACACGGCCTCTTGTCTTGTCTCCGTTGCCTTTTAGCGGCCTACGTGGAAAGGTTCACCGTTACCTGCACATGGGTCGAGGCCGGGAGTGGTCCCTCCGGCTAAGGCCCCCTGGGTTGGGACCGCAGCGGGGCCGTACTCTGGGACTCCGTTGTCCTCATCGGGACTCACTGCACGTGGAAACAAAGACCAGGAAGGACACTTCAACAAAGGAAATGATTCCGTGTCACGACCGTGACGCACAAAAGCAGTTTCAAAAAGGGTGATATTCTGTATCATACTTATTTTTCTAATGACAGTTTAATGGCAAAGACATACCCGGTGCGCACGAGTGCCCGTCCCGCTGGAGGACGTAGCCTCGGTCGCAGCCACATCGGTAGGAGCCCCAGACGTTGGTGCAGGTGTGCTGGCACAGCTGGCCCGCCAAGAGCCGGCACTCATCCACGTCCTCCGGATCCCCCACTGCGTTGGCGCGTTCATCCGCGGCGCCGATGGAGAAGGCCTCGTTGGGGAACTTGCCGTCAGAGACTGGAAGGAGAGGAGTGAGCAATGAGTCCCGCAAAACCAGGGACCTTGCCCCTCCTTTAGAATGTTTCAAGTCACAAAACATTACCAAAACAAGAAAAATGTCACCCAAGTAAGTCATTTCACCTTTGCTGTAGGACCCTTAGAAGGCTTCCTTGGTTAAGGAAACACTTTAGGAACTTGGGTGGAGGCCCCTCGTCCTCGTGGTCCGAGCGCTTGGGAGGTGGGCTGAAAGGAAGCGCTGTTCCTCCGGAGGCAAAGCAGCCGATCCAACGTGTGTGTGTGTGTGTGTGTGTGTGTGTGAACGTGTTCAGAGCTTCCAAACTGGATAAAAAAAGCTTTGCCACTGCGCAGATTCTGACCCCGTATGAGGTTGAAAGCGCAGGGCGGCAGCTCGGGTATTTTGGGGTTTTATTTTTGTATCATTAGAGGTGATATAGAGACACAGTCTATGAATTCTACCTGCGTTAATGCCACAGACAGGCGCCATGTCATTGGCAAAAGTACCTGATCAGGACCCCAAACGGACGAATTATGTTGAGACCTCACGGTTATCCGATGCTAAAGTGTCTTTAACCTGCATTCTCTCTACTGACCACTAGGGGGCATGTCCTCTTGTTGCACAGATAAGTGCGATAGGACAGTACTACTTCTTTCTTGATTTATTACCTCAGTAATAACAGCATGATGCTCATTTAGTAAACGATGGTCCATTTAGAGTCAAACTGACCATAAAGCAGATGATTTAGGGCGGGCCTACTGGGATTGACAGGTCGCTGCTAGAGCATCTTTTCGCCGTTCCTCCAGTCTAATTAATGTCATTTGAGTAAATGGCGACGGTCAAAATACAAGATGATGACGGAAACGCTCGAGGCATAAAGGGGCAGTCCGGGGCAAACCAACCGGTGACGTCACGACAACCCTGCCAGCTTCTTATGTACAGTCGATGGTTTGAACTGGAACATGCAACTCTAGCCTTAGGAAACCGACATAAGGAGACAAAATAACACATAATCCTCCTTACTATTAACATTCAGACTGATGCTTTTAGCTTTAATGCCTAAACCATCTGTTACAGTGGAAAGGTGAGCTTAGTGCAGAAACTAAGCTGCACCAAGGACCAACAGAGCTATAAATCACAGACACCCTTATATAAGGAGGGCTACGGGTCTGACGTGTACTGCAGCAGCGACGGACACAGCTTTGGGTTTTCCAGTAAATATTTCTCACTGTATTTGCATGCGGGTTTAAATCCGGAGGATTTAACGTTTCCTGTTTTAATTAAAAGGCAGCGAGTCATAAGACTGAAGACACATCCCCATGGAAATAATTACAGTGCGTCTCAACCAAAGTAAGTAAGGGCATTAGGAGAGAGCTATACGCGCACGCTGCCTAAGAGGGTGAACCGTTTGTGCAGCTCTCACACCTCTCACAGCTTTTTAGCGGGCTGTTCGATTCCCACTTCGGAATGACATCACTCAGATTTCCATTTTAAAACCGAGCGCGATCAGCGGCAGTCGCCACGTCAGTGTGACGAGGAGGAATCCCATTGAGGTCGTGGATGAAATAACAGGCGCCGAGCAGAGGAGACTGACCTCCCCATCACACAACTATTCCCGTTAAAGGACTTCGGAATAATATGTAAACTATATGCACACACTAATATGTGCACAGGGAGCGGCGTCTTGCTCAGGGACACTATGTGAGCTCCCTGTGTAACCGCTCTACTGTCTCTTACCTACTTAATGCACGAGCAAGTACTTCCAATTCCTGCAAACATCTCATTATTTTTGTTGCAAAAGTAAATCTATAAATGAAGTAAAGCGACGTTGGACGTTTAGGCGCGTAACAAGAGGAACCCGTATGTTTCCCTTGAACATTATTGTGCTGTCATCTCAGACTCGCACCAAACCGACAGAGGGGAAATGAGGGTCGTCCGGCGGGGGCCGAAGGGCCCGACCAAGCAAAGGTATTTGACAAGTTGGGAGGGAGAACGTGTTGTAAATAACAGCAAAATAAGAAGTTCAAATCAACAAGGCTCTTTAGGATATTGTAAAATTAGCGGCCTGTTGACCTAAACAGTAGAATCCGTCTAAATAAGATATGCTCAACATAACTTCATCTGTGAAATGCATAAAGAAAATGGCACAGACATGGAAGTGCACCTCAAAGACCTTTTTAGAAATGGGAGTGAGGAGCCAAGAACAACGGCAAAGTAATATTCTACATATTTTAGGCAACCAAAATGTTTTTCTTTAATAAAGTGACACACCATTTGAAAAGGGAAACACTGACAACGGCGTGGTTGCAACCTGGCGAGCACGAGCAGGCCCACCCCTAAAGCATACCCTGCTTCATGTGACGAATCAATTACGATTATATTCCAGATGCAATAACACACGTGATATTCAATTCTTGCCTGAAGCATGTTTATCGGGTTCTCCTTCATTTTCCCGCTCCGCCGCAGCGGCTCCGACTACAAAGGGCTGTACTGACTAACAACAATGTGCGTGACGGACGGGTTGGCAACATCAGTGACACGTTACCTTTACTAGGCGTAGACGTCGGCCCGGGCTTCAGCTTCCTCCTCAGCGGGATCTGACTCTCACCCTCCTCCTCCTCCTCCTCCTCGTCCTCGCAGCAGGCGAGGAAGACGTGACCGCACGGGAAGCCCAGGTGCTGGTGGGCGTCACAGCCCCGGCCTCGTCTGCGCAGGCGCAGGCCGAGGGCACAGCAGCTGCAGCACACCTGCCCGTCCGGACACAGCAGCCAATCAGCAGGGTGCCGTTCACATCGCTCACTACCAGCGGCGCCTCCGCCGTTACCTTTCGTGACCAGCAGAGGAAAGGGCACACGCGCTTACTGCAGCCCCCCCCCCACCTCATTAGTTGCAGTTGTCATGCAAAGAAACAGTGTTTTTTTCTTTAACTTTCCACTTAAAACAATGACCCGGCACAGCGGTTTTCCTCTCGGAGGAGCCGGGGGATGCTTTCCAAATGTGGGCAAAGCCATTATTCACGGGTCTGTTGGCCAATAAAGACAAATAAACTGTCTGACCTTCTGGCACCCGTGTCTGTAATTGCAATCTCGCTGAGGCAAAAACAACAGTGCATTCCAGGGTTTGTTTAAACATGTTTAAAGGCTGAAATTAACTGGATTTATTGTGGCAGCCACGTGGAATTCTTCGCGCTCGATCTCTTGTCTTTTTGTTCCCTTGGACTCTTCGCATGTTCCGGTTTTGAAACACAAAGGCAATGCCATATAAACGATGTCCTCTCCGTCTCCCCCCCCATTGGGATGTCATGCGGTGTGACAGTGATTTACCTGGTGGGAGTCATCCGTGCACTGGTGCTCCTTCTCCACGGCGCAGGTGTCCCCTCCCCTGGCCGACGCCATGCCCGATGCACACCGCCTCTCCTTTACGGAGCTCAGGCAGCACTGCTTCCACGCAACACTAGACACACACACACACACACACAATAATATGTTCTTGAGCTGTGGCCAAAAAAATGTTTTGAGGATTTGCATTTTCTGATTAAACAACCTGAAAAACTAATAAAGTAGAAGAAACTTAGCCTGCTCTCACATATATAGAAATTGCTGTGGGATCCTTCAAAACCCTTTTTAAAGCCGTCTCCCGTCCGGATCGGTGGTTTTGGATCCACGGCTCCATGGATCCAATGGATTGCCATTGGATCCATGGCAAAACACGGCTTCAAAACTAGGACAGCGACTTACCTGCATACGTCCTGGTCCAGCGGTGTCATGTGGTCGCAGTGGTGCTTTTCTGAGGCCCATTTCTGGCCGGCAGCACAGCAGCTCTGCAGCTGCTCTTCAACAGAGGCCCCCGGACCTGTCGGCCAGGAGACGGGAGACGGGAGACGGGCGTGAACACTACGTCACCGGCGCGCACAGGAGACCGACGGATAAAAAGCAGTAAATCTCCCCCCCGGTGTCTGCACAGCGAGACGCAACGGCCAGAAGCCCCTCCCCCCGAGGAGCGAGGTGAAGACGGCGAGGAACATGTGGTAGACCGCTACGGGCCGCAAAAAGGCGCCTCGAAGGTTTCTGCAGCGAACTAAAGAGGAGCCGCCACGTTACCATAACAGGGGCCCCGTTTTATGATTGGAAACTTCGGCCGGGTCTGAAGAGAAGTTACAGTTTGTTCTATAAATGGGTCCAACGGCTGTCGGCACGCGTTGGGTCGTGAACAAAGGCGTCTGACGGATTGGCAAAGCGTCAGCGCTCATGAGCGTACGGCCTGACAGGGAGGCGACGACTGAGTGCCGGGTCATCTGGAGCATTTCAGTGGAGTCTAAGTACCTGTGGCACAGAGGCCGCTTATGTAAAGGAGACCAGGATGTTGGTGTGTGGGGGGGCGACACCCCCCCACATGATACCCGTTAGAACTGGAAATAGAGAGATTGAAATAAAGAAAGAGAAAGAAAGAAAGGCTGCCCGGTCAGATAGTACTTTCTGTCTTTAATTAGCTGCACCAAACCACCCATCCGCCTCGGTGACCCTTTGACCCCCCGGAACGTTGGCACGAGTGCTCAGGCACACACCCATTCACACACCGCACAACTGCGCCAAACAAAGAGCTTTTGTTTTTCCATTCACTCGACCTCCGTCAGCTTTGCTACTGTGCAGAACAATTAGCTTAGTCTTCATATCCGTACGGCCCTGATATGAAGTTGTGTAACTTTCGAGACTTAAACCTGATTCATGTTAACAAAATCAAAAAAGCATCCAAAACACAGCAGAGATCATCGCACTCCACCACGGGAATTCCTGTTAAGCACAAAGCTTATTTCTAGTAATTAAAAAACATTAACAATCTGAGGATCAACAGTAAAGCGGCGGTCAGATTAAGCCGTTTCCCGCGGGCAATATTTCCCTCATGTGAGGAACCCGTTGTGTTCACCTCCGAGTGTAATACGTCCCAACTCCGTCCTGCACACGGTACATTCAGAGAAAAACCAGCGTAGAGCTTTGAGGTTCACTTTGAACGTTCTTGCGTTTCGCTGTCACACATTTCACCGGCGCCTCCTTTGGGAAACGGGGAAAGTGAAAGAAACGGCTTATTTCAACCTGCGAAGACGTCGGTGTTTCACTCGGCAGAAACTGTGTTCTTCTCACATTTCCTGTCGGCCACAGGTTGCTCACACACTTCCCAGTTGGCTGGAGCAAAAACATCATCCCTGTATCCTTCTTCATTTTATCCGGAGAGGAAAACTTTGTTTTGCCGCCACAACCTGGCGCAGGTTTGTTGTTTCACACTAACAGCTGGCATCGGTGTGGTCGCCCACACAGGTGGGTTCCGCGGCGAAGGGGTCAGCTCTGCGCTCGGCGCGCGGCGGGACGCGAGCGGCCGCCGATGTCTCCGTGGCGTGGACGCTTTTGAACTGACGGAGCGCTAATTGCTTGACCGATCACCCCAAATATTGATGAGCCTTATTAATGTGGCCGAGGTTCTACTCTGAATATGAATAAATAAATAACTATGTAAATACTGCAGAGGGATCGGGTCACCTTTGCTAAATGTGTTTACAATATTCATCCAACTATCCAACAAAGTTTTATTCTTTCTTTACTTAAATACAGTATTTATGTATTCATACTGCTGCACCGCAAACAGATGTTTCCACGCGCTGCAAACAGATGTTTCCACGCGCTGCAAACAGATGTTTCCACGCGCTGCAAACAGATGTTTCCACGCGCTGCAAACAGATGTTCCACACGCTGCAAACAGATGTTCCACACGCTGCAAACAGATGTTCCACCACGCTGCAAACAGATGTTTATACACGCTGCAAACAGATGTTTATACACGCTGCAAACAGATGTTCCCACGCGCTGCAAACAGATGTTCCCACGCGCTGCAAACAGATGTTCCCACGCGCTGCAAACAGATGTTCCCACGCGCTGCAAACAGATGTTCCCACGCGCTGCAAACAGATGTTCCCACGCGCTGCAAACAGATGTTCCCACGCGCTGCAAACAGATGTTCCCACGCGCTGCAAACAGATGTTCCCACGCGCTGCAAACAGATGTTCCCACGCGCTGCAAACAGATGTTTCCACACGCTGCAAACAGATGTTTCCACACAGTGCAAATAGATGCTTGCTTATATTCGCTTAGTTCCATTACGGCCCTTTTAGTAATGTTTCTCTCCCACTCATTAATATTAACAGTATCTTTCTGGCAGTGTACAGATAGTTAGACGCCTGCTGCTTGAAAGCAGGTGGACAAACAGTAATATTGTGGCCGTTAACAACAAAACAAGCCATTTATTATTAATGTAAAAATATGGATGGGTGCAACTTACAAGCTTGAATCCGCAAACTGATATCGGGGCACAGTGTGAAAAGTTAAACCTAACATTCAGCAGCGGGTTTTATGAACTAAGACCAACATCGAGAAACGTGACAGTCGCTAGATGAGGTTCGACCGCACGTTGTTACAACGCTGGCAGACACAGCAGCCAGGCCACGACAAAACAACGGCGCCTCCATCACGCAGCCCCTCTTTCCTGTGGAGCTTTTCCCGGAAGGGAAACCTGATGGCTTATTTGTGAAGCGAGCATGAATGGACCAACGAGGCATTTAAAGCATTCGGGGAGCCGGGCCGGGGAGAGTAATGGCTTTGAACAATGCAAGGATGCTAACTGCCTCGGCTCCCGCTGCTCCGGCACGTTCGCCCGGCTTCGGTCTCGCCCACACACACAGAAACGCAGCTATTCATCGATTCGCTTTCTGAACAAATGAGCGGAGCCGCAGTCCCAATCACACAATGCAGCATGCGGCCAGGAATGTGTTCTCAGAGACTCGTAGGAACATTTGAGCTGGAGTTGCTCAAGAAGTGGATCTTTTTATTATTAAACGTAACTATTTACTTATGGATTAGTTTAAACATTTTAGGGATAAGTCCTACATCTGCACTGTCTGCTGTATACACGGCATTTAACCATCAGTCAATAACTGCCTGGAGTTGAGCAAAGAACAGCGAGTGCAGCGAATGGAGAGACTAAATCTTCACTTCGTAATAAAGCCTAATGAGTTACTTTTGCTCATGTGTGTAGTATATTATGGAAAAGCACTTGATCCGTTTCTCTTTCTGATTGCAGTGCAGCCAATATGGCCCCAATGTTTGTCTTTAAGCCCAGAAGACTAAATGAATTCTGCTGCGTTCACACCAAACATCTATTTTCAACAACAACGTTATACATCGCACCTCACTTGGTTGAATGGCAATGTTTTACATTTTAAAAAAAGGATAGACAGGTCTGTTTTGTCCAAAAGTCAACTCATTACGTGCATAGTTGGTGGAAATTCCCGTCTCCTCAATGCCACCTAACAAACAACAGCCTTGTTTTTAGTCACACGTTGTCATTCGGTACCTACGAGGTTTTCACATGAGCACACAGCGTAATGCGAGTGACATCGTCTCTGCCTCTTCTCTCGCTCACTCAGGCCCCCTGGGTCTCATCTGTGAAGCAGATGGGGACATTACAGACTGTGGGCTTAAAAGTACCGTCTTAAACCCCGAGTCCACGGCCGTCCCCGCTCTTCTTCTCGCTGTGGGCAAAGTCAGAAGTACAACGGCTCCACTCAGCCTTCGGCAAGGCGACCTGAGATCTCCCACGACCAGCCCAGCATGCCCATCCGGCCTCCCCCCCCCCCACCGGCCGGCCCCCTTTTCATGCCACGCAATCCATCAGCCGTAAAGCGCCGTCAACAGCAGCCGGTCCAGAGCGGAGCGCTGGGCCCGGCTCCAGCCGCCTCGTGGGAAATGTTGGCCGCCGTTTCTTTCCAAATGTGAGACAGCAGTTTGGCACAAACACAAAATCCCAGTATTAGTCAACCAAACTCGAATCCACCTTTTAAAAAAGGTTAACAAGGTCTGTATCCGACTCAGCTGTCGGCTGCAGCGGTTCATAAACACGCTGGATTGGCTCCTAAACGCTGAACTAATTTACACCAGAAGAAAGCCAATGAGTCATTTCCTTTATATTGCGGGACGTCCTCTGACTGCCACACTTCATTGTCTCAGTGCCGCGAGCATCTTGCATGATCACTCTGGTCCAGGAGCGGTCTGGATTCAATCTGAGCTGTGGACCAGACGCAGAGGTTCCCCTACGTTTGCAGGTTTTGAATGTTCGGTTGGGCTCAGAACCTCAGGTGCGATACGAGGTCCTCAATGCATTGACCTGAACAGACGCAAATTAGGAAAAATACACAGTTCATTGGGCGCGTTGATGCGTTATTACAGTCTTAACGTGTAATATGTAAAAGGTATTATATTTTAGCTGGTTTTGTTCTGCTGAACTATTGTAAAGTTCACAAGGAAGCCATAAAGGAATAAAGTGTAAATGCTGCTCTCCAGCTACGAGAAATGAGAAAAATGAAGTGGTCAAAACATGTGACTGGATGCAGCCTGAGATTTCTGCAGTGGAGGTTAATAGAAGAAGGCCTTTGTGAAATGCACCGGACACGTTGCTGTGAACCGTTCCAAATGTAGGTTATCCTAAATAAATACCTCCTAGGAAAACGTCTCGCTGGATTGTTCAGGATAGCATGAACAGAGTTTCTGCAAAGACCAAACAATATGCAACATTGGGAACGCGGAGGGAGAAACCCAGTGATGGATGGAGGCCGCTGATCTACATGGATATCCGCTTTACGCAGCCGGTTCCCCTCCCGGGAGCAAACCCCCCCCCCCCCGTCACTGGCCTGACAACAAAGCGGGACCCTTCCGAGATCCACTTAGGATATGTAGAAAAGAAAGCCTTTAAGCTGCGTTATATGAAAGAATTATGACAGGAGATGGGAATCAATAGAAACCATTACAGTT